CCGCCGCTGAGCAAGGCGTTTCTCTGTCCAACAGCACAGGCCAGTCATGTGTCAGCCCCCTTAGATAAATGAAGGTCAACATAAAATATATTGCTTTTTCACAGTTGTTGAAAGCAATTGTTTCTGTAAATAAAAGGGCATCGGCAGCCAAACTGAATGCCGTTTGATAAAATTCAGCCATTTGACTGTCAGGTGCGGGAATGTTTCCTTTAAGCTGCATTTCTTTCTTCAGATGCTGGAAAATCGAATTTAGTTCCACTCCAACACACACCATTAAAACTGAGTTTTCAAGGTTCCTCATTCGCTGGCTGGGAAATAAAAAGGAATGTGTGAAAGTGTTTTTGTCGTTTCAAGGACTGCAGCTGCAGTGGGGGTCTGCCAGTGATCAAATGCTGATGCAGGTTTTCCTGTGATGGATAGCGGAGGGCACATTTACCTGCTGCTGTGGCAGATAACCAAACATCAGGAGGCGCACGTATAATCATAAAGTGTCTGCAAGGACATCTGAAAAAAGGTGAAAAAGCACCCAGTCACAACCAAATAATGTGTAAAGAAAATCACTGGCAGCATCGTCATGAAGAGAAAGACCAGACTGGCGTTTGCAGTCGGTCTCTGTGGATTTATTATGAAATAATTCACTGTGCTGTGGGATAGATGGGCCCAGTAGTGTTACTGACTGAGCCATACGTGCACCACAAACTACATGGTTCAGGTGAGATCAAGTCTTAAAGATGAGCTCAAAACGGCTCCGACCCATCAAGACACTCCACAGACCTCTGAAGGTGTCCTCTGGTGTCTGGCCCCAAGACACCAGCAGCGGATCCTTTAAGTCCCGTATGTTGAGAGGTGGGGCCCCACAGATGGGCCTGCTTAACCAGCACATCCCATGGACTCTTGATCAAGCTGAGATCTCAAGCATGTGTCAAAGTATCATCCATATGAATAGCAAGACCCCAGGCAGCTGATGCACATGCACCCGGCCGTCCATGTGACAGGCCAGGCCACCTTCTTCCACTGCTCCATGGTACAGTTCTGATGCTCACATGCCTGCTGTGCAGGGGCCAGTGTGGTGCTCTGACTGCTCTGCAGCTGCACAGGCCCCTACACAGTGAGTGGCGATGCATTGTGCTCTGAAACCTGCATATCAGAACCAGCGTTAAGTCTGTCACCTGCTCGTACAATTACAATCTACATTTTCTGTATTTTAAAATACAGGCATTTCTTCATCCAAACCCACCAGTTTATAAATGCTTAAAAAGCTATTTCATACATCATTTTCAATCTAATTCTTCTAATTCTTTTCCATTATATTGAAATTGTTTAACATTATCCTGAACCAGCTTTCTGAGCCAAACAGGTCCATCTATATTTAAACACATCTCTCTGTAGACTAAGTTTCACATAGCTCTCTAACAATCCTCTTAATGGAAATCAAGTATACTCCAGTGGGCTCTACAGAAATGGCTCTAACTCCTCCTTTTAACCCTCCTAGGCTTAAAGAGCCCAGTTTAAAAATTCAAAATGCCTCCCTCTTAAGGAAGAGGGAGGCAGAGCTTAACCAGACTTATGGGCTTATGAAGAGTAACATTAACTGTGATAACCAGCAGCCCAGCTACAACAATGTTACCCACACGGTGACTCGCTCAGTAGGACAGAAATGTGCTGGATGTCTCTGACCGGGCTGCACCAAGTTTTGGTCAGTCAGTCTCCACCATGTCAGGAGACAAGGGGGAGAAAGGCTCCTAGCTGAAGAA